CCCAGGCGGGTCTCAAACCCGCAAGCTCAGGCAATCCACTCACCTCAGCCTCCCAAAGCGTGGGATTACAAACTGAGCCACCGAGCCCGGCTAATTAGGCAGTTTTTAAAGAGCAATGGTCATTTCCAGTGAACCCAGGATACCGTGTTGCTCTTTTGCAGACAAGGTAAAGATGTTATCTGATGAATTCCATGGAAATGACCTACTTTAAAACAAGCCTCTGGGCCAGATGCTGTGGGTCACACCTGCAATCCCAGTAGTTAGGAGGCAAGGTGGGGATTGCCTGAGTCCAGGGGTTCGAGACCAGCCTGGGCAAGTAAGCGAGACCACATCTCTATTATAAATCAAAAAATTAGCCGGGCTCGGTGGCTTAACCTGTAATCCCGTGCCTTTGGGAGGCTGAGGTGAGTGGACTGCCTGAGTCCGCGGGTTCGAGACCCGCCTGGGCAGCAAGACCTCCTCTCTACAATAAATCAAAAAATCAGCTGGGCGTGGTAGCGCATACCTGAAATTCCGGCTACTTGGAAGGCTGAGGCGGAAGGATCGCCGGAGCCCAGGAGGCGAGGCTGCGGTGGCTGGGAGCGGCCACTTCACTCCAGTCTGGGCGACAGAGTGAGACTCCAACTCAAAAAAAAAAAAAAAAATTACCTGGGTACGGTTGTGGGTGCCTGCAGTTCTGTCTACTTGGAAGGCTGAAGTGGAAAGATCACCCAAGCCCAGGAGGTCAAGGCTGCGGTGGCTGTGATCAGTCATTAATCTACCACTGCACTCCAGCCTGGATGACAGAGTGAGAGTATGACTCAAAAAAAAGAACCCCTAGAATCTCATGAGACATTTAAGTGACATTTCCTTTCTACTTCCACAGTAAGGAATAACTTAGCTAAGTGTTTTTATCAAATACACAATTCTATATTGGACCAAGCTGCAGGGCTGTGATTCAAAGACTAGAATCCAGCTGCAGGACTGTGATTCAAAGACTAGAATCCAGCTGGGCATAGTGGCTCACACCTGTAGTCCCAGCACCCTGGGAGGCTGAGACAGGAGGATTGCTTAAGGCCAGAAGTTTGAGACCAGCCTAGGCAAAAAGTGAGACCTCGTCTCTACAAAAAATTAAGAAATTAGCCATGTATGGTGGTGTGCACCTGTAGTCCCAGCACTTTGGAAAGCCGAGATGGGAGGATTGCCTGAGCCCAGGAGTTCGAAACCAGCCTGGGTAACATAGTGAGTTGCTATCTTTATAAAAATATAAAAAAGTTAGCTAGATGTGGTGGCTGGCACCTTTGGTCCGTCCCAGCTACTCAGGAGGCTGAGGCAGGAGGATCGCATGAGCCCAGGAGGTCAAGGCTGTGGTGAGCCTTGATCGTGCCACTACATTCCAGCCTGAGCAACAGGGACCCTGACTCAACAAAAAGACCAGCATCCACAATCCTCCTTAGCCATATACTTTAAAGTTTTGGCCCACAGGCAAAATCTCTTCACAATCCCTGAGACACCTGAAAAATGGGAACAGCAGTGCCGCCTCTGAGGAGCTGTGGTGATACCATCATCCCTTCTGCAAATGGTTATGAAGTGCCAGGGATGAGCCAGACGTTGGTTTAGACATGAAGGTCAAGCAGTAAACAAAGTCTTTTGTCTCGGGGTCTACATTCCAGTGTGGGAAATCAGCAATGCACAGGTACAGATACATAGATGACACACATGCTGGTAATCAGCACTGAGGAGAGTAAGCCCCGGAAAGTAAACAGAGCAAAGTTGAGCTTTAAAGAGGATTTTAAAATTTTATTTCTGTAGTTTTAGGGGGTACACAGTTTTTGGCTACATGGATACATTGTAAAGTGAAGACACCCAGGCTCTAAGTGCACCCAGCAACCCTAACCTGGGCATATTATACCCCTCAGGTGAGTTTTCATCCCTTTACCCCTTCCTGCCCTACCCCTTTTGAGCCCCCAGTATCCACCATACCATTGTCTATGCCTTTGCAGATCCATAGTTTAGCTTCCACTTATAAGTGAAAACATGCAGT